TCTTTCTGTTGCATGAATAGTCCAGGGGAACTGTACCTTAATAGTTTATCCAAGCTTGTTTAAATTTATGAAGACCGAAATTTGATTTTAAAACGACCTGCTGTACATGTTGACTTTTTATTTAGAAAGAGTCATGGTTGTTATAAGGAATTTTAAAATCTTGAAGTGTTATCGTTTTTATCTGATATAAGCATGATGGGGAAAGGTTGATTCTTTTAGCTGTATATAAATATATGAATGTTTTTTTTTTTTATTAAATGATTTTCGTAAACCTTTTATCATGATAACTCATATGTTATGTTGATAAAGCGCAAAGGTCCAATTAAAACAGCGCAAATGTACTATTTTGAAAAGCGCAAATTTCCAAATTTAGAAAAACCCAAATATCCATTAAAAACCGCAAATGTCCTATCAAAAAGGTTAATTTGATGTATATGTCATTTGGTCTCTTGTGGATAGTTGTCTCATTGGTAATCATACCACAACTTCTTATTTTTATATTGTCTCGTCCTTTATTTGAATCTGATCTTTTTTAAACTTGTTTTTTTATTATGATTACAAAACCATTCTTCAAAAAGATAGAAATAAACAAGACAGGGGAATGTTAATAAATAACATTGTGTTTGTTTTCGGGGGAAGGGGGTGTTGTTCTTTTTTTGTGGGAAGGCGGTGAGTTGTATTACTATCTAATCTTTTTACTTTGTTTTATTTTCCTGTACTATATAGTCGGTACTATGTTTAAATGTGTTTCTTCTTTTATTTTATTTTTAAATGATTTCCTTTTTTTAAAGTATTAAAAAAAGGCCCGGAAACTATCAAAGGGACAATCAAATTTCGTAAGTCGACGACAACCCGCTTACATCATGGCAAAAAAATGAAAAACGACAGAAAAACAAAATTCCAATATAACTTTTACTTGTTATCGGTAGATATGCTTTCGGTTTACTTTGAATTTATATAAAATCCCTTCGATTTAGAAATAAAGACAGCACTTGTATTAAAAAATTACCCTCTCCGGGATGATTTCAACTTCCCAATTATCAATTTTCCAGTTCTCTGCAGTAACATACCCTCTTCTTCGTCGTATGGTGTGTACACATCTCAATTGATACGTTATGCTCTTCCATGTTCACACTATACTGACTTCATATACAGGAGTGTGCTCCTTACGCAGAAACTGCTCCAACAGAGTTATGAGGAGGAAAGATAAAAAATGACACTGTAAATTTTATGGACACCATCACGAATTGGTTGATCTATACGATGTGTCTGTGTCAAAACTAACTAATGACATGTTTACCACGTCTTAGATTGTGGTTTAACATCTATGTCGTCTGTCTGCTAAGTACCGAACGTGACCTATTCCCGAATATAACTGTTATACCGAGAGTGAATTTACATTGCTATACGACGTGTCGCGGTATTTTCTACATCCAACATTCATGTATTTATTTTTGAAGTTTTCGTTATGGTTTCGGTTGAGTAATGTGTTATGTCGTATCGTTTGTTGTCCAAATAATTATAAAATTGCCTTTCAATACCATCATTGTCATATTCCCGAATATGACTGTTATGAAGACTGTGAATTTGCATTGCTGTGCGGCGTGTATCGGTGTTTTGTACATCCAACATTAATGGATTTATTTTGATGTTTCTGTTATGGTTACGGTTGGATAATCTGTTATGTCTTATCGTTTGTAGTCCAAATAATTAAAATATTGCCTTTCCATACCATCATTGTTATGAAAATTGTTTGGACGAATATTTTGAAAATAATTGTATAAAGTTCGAGATTGCTTGTTAGTTACGTAAGCGGGTCACTGTTTTTGTGGTGTTTTACGTTGATAGAATATGTTCGTTGTTGATCTGTGGTTTGCATGTTGTGTCGACTATTATATTATTTGTTTGTGCTGTATTTCTGTCACTTGGTGTTTTAGCGATATTTTTTAACATTGTCATAAAGCGGGAGGTTTGGCATGTCATGAAACCAGGTTCAACCCACCATTTTGTCTTAAAATGTCCTGTACCAAGTCAGGAATATGGCAGTTGTTATCAAATAGTTCGTTTCTATGAGTGTTGGCGTTTGTTTTTTGTTGCATTTCGGTGTTCCTGTTGTTCCCTTGTTTTCCTCTTATAGTTGATGTGTTTCCCTCGGTTTTGGTTTAAATTTGTAACCCGGATTTGTTTTCTCTCAATCGATTTATGACTTTTGAACACCGGTATACTACTGTTGCCTTTATTTACCTTAGAGAAGGTATCACCGATAATGGACGTCCAAACGATCACATAGCATATTTAAGGTCATACTGGGATAAAAACAATTTAAAAAGTGTGTGATTCTAAAGTGTTATAAACAGTTTATTATGAAATATATTAGTATTTAAAAAAATAGAGAGAGAAAACGAGGACTGCTGGCTACATCTTTGCTATTTAAAATCTGTTTCGTAAACGCTCGCTTTCAAAAGGTGTCGGATGTGTTCTACATTTGATATACCACGAATTGAGAAAATTAATCGTGAAGGAATAAGTAACGGCGGTCAAGTATTGCGATCGTTAAAGTTCTAGTGTTTAACTTCAATATATAATAATAAATCCGGTGTATCTACAAATCAGAGCTTTCTGAAATTTATAATCAACCTTCATGTGTGCATGCTGTACCGTGTGATGAGTTTTTACGTCAATCACTCATCAACCTTCGTGTGTGCATGCTATACCGTGTGATCATCCACTCATGAACCAAATTACCCAGAGTAACAAATTCTAATAGCGGGATATCATTAATGAACAATAACTAATAGTTCGACTTGTCATTCCTCAATAACATATATCTTTACTCTCAATAAACCATCATTTTGACAAGGTATAAACTGTTAAAACTTTCTCGGCAAAAAATGTTTCGACTCGATATTATTTAATTTCCAGTACGGGACGGGCCACCTAAAGGTTGGATTAGTGTTTGCTCATTTCTAAATCGTATGAAATTGTAGAATATAAATGCACATATTACTAGTGTCGATTGTGAGATGTAACATTTTCATCAACAGTTCTATATTAATGTAGAAAGAGGTAAAAATGCACGACAAAATGACAACCGTCGTGACCCTTATCTCACATTTGCCTTAATTTTTCATTTAACTGTACTGAAAGAAACATTCAGAGGGAATGATATAAGCTTGGGATTGAATGATAATTTACTTTTTGCACCTCAAATATTTGTATTTCTGTGCATAGAACGCAAGAAACGGTTAGTAGTGGTGTTACGTCCCTTTATAAAAACAACACAGCGTTCAGGAAAAATATGAAACGTTTCGCCCGGACAACAGATGAAGAGACTGATGATGAACGATTACACTAAATGCAGAAAACACATTAAAAGCTAACAAGTTGTTACTGTTGGCATTTGTTTTTGTACAGACCAATGGAAGCAGGTTCTCTATATTGAAGACTTTGATCACTTTGATAGGACACTTATATAACAATTTAGCGAAGTCGTTATAACGATATAGCTAAGTCGTTATAACGACTAAAAAATAAAACTACACCCTGACACTAACCGGCTTCTGTAGACACTAGTCTAAATGCCACATGTTAAGATAGTCGGTAAGATAAATAAGTTACACAATGTGCTAGTGACCTAATACGATATATATTGGGTCAGTACATATGGAATTTACTGACCCCATATATATCGCATTAGGTCACTAGCAAACTGTTTGACTAGTATTATGCAAATTATAAATCCGACGGCAAGATGGTTGCTTGAGTAAATATTCCAATTTTGTTCCAAGTTGGAAAAATTTTGACTGAGTATGGATTGGCCGGTCGGTCGATGCATGCATAACAATATAGTTTATTATCTTACCTCCTTTACATTTCTAGAAATACGATTGATTGAAAGCAACCACGTGGAGACCGTGTATATTTCATATTGGGTTAGTAGGTGTGGTAAATTTCAATACCAGGTTAGTAGTGGAGTTACGTCCCTTTGTAAAAACAACACGGTGTTGAGGACAAATCTGAAAGGTTTCAACAGACGAAGAAATTGATGATGAAAAAGCACACTATGTAACTGATATTACGCACGTTTATCCTGTTGACACAGAGGGTATCGCTCCTTGTGGAGATTGCGATTATTTTTGGGTTTGTTGCTTTTTTTTGTATTGGATTGTATCATCAAAATAGATTTACTAAGAGAGAATATTTTAATTTGATGCATGTTTTCAACACAACCAAATGCATAAGTGAAAATATCCAAGATAATTCAATTTAATAAAGAAATCTACAGTAAATCTCCCATATTGTTTTGTAGCTTGAAAAAAAAACCAAGTACGTTGGCCACAACTTTATTTTCTGAAGGCACATTATATAAAAGCTATCTTAAATATCTATTTCAGATCTAATTAGTCTAAATTGCAATCTTTTAGTTTTCTCTCTATTCACACAAAACTGATTTTTCAACACATTGCATTACAAAACTGACAATTTTGCACAATCTTTAGCTAAGAAAAAGCTCTGAGACAATCCTTTTTATAATATTTTTAAAAGGCATGATATTATGACTGATCAGCAAAGAGGCCATAACTATGATCAACTATAAGTTGATGTCTTGGGAAAATGACGGATGCAAATTATGTTCTGAGGGCCTTACAATGTCAGTTTTAAAAGATAACACTTGTAATATAGATACACTAACGTATGTTCGTCTTTTCTAAAACCTTTTCAGAGAAACTTTAGAGTAAGTTTTTCCATAAAAAGAGGATGTATCTATTTTCCTTAATTTTTGTTTTATTTTTTCCTCATCCCTTTTCTTGATTTTGGCAGGTAAAAAAACATCCATCTGTTACACAAAAAAAAATCAAAAGTATTGTGATCTTTAGAATACTTCATTCAATTCAATTTAGTAAAATATTGGTATTTAAATGATTATTATTGACGTAACTATATTCTTCCGTCTATAACACGACACATGTTGTCTAGAGTTTTATGATAGGATCGGTACATCCCTGTAATTACATGTGCATATTGTGTTTATTCTGCAAAAGTTAATGCAACCAAGGCGTGGCACCAAAATTAGTGCTGTTAACATTTTCAATTTCTGCCATATTTCATGTACATTTAGTTACGACATCAAGCTATTTCATCAATTTGCAATTGGAGTTTCTTTTGATCAATTTTACAGAACAGAAACGATATTTGTGGTATGTATAAGGCTTAAATGAACACAAATATATTTTATTCTGTATATATATATATATATTTTTTGAATGAGCTGACAATCAACTTCTTTTCTAAATGATTTAAGAATTCTTTTTATACATTTATGTTTTTTTTTCTTTTTCTTCTTATCTTATTTCTTTATGGTGGATTTTTTAGGCAGGTTGGATTGGATGTCTCTCCTTCAGTTATAGTTAAGTTTTTGTTTGTTCGTCAGTTTTTTTATGTTATTTGAAACGGTTTGTCTAGAATTAATATTCATTCGTTTTAGTTTATATCGTTTTATGGAGTATGATTTCTTCGTGTAATTGTTGTTGGTTTTCTTTTTCTTTTTCTTTTTTCTTTATTTCTTTATTGTATTTAGTTATTTTTTTATTGTTCCTTGTAGTTTTATTAACATAAACTTTGGAGATTTAAAGGGAATGGTTGAGATATAAAAGAAATATATAAAAGTTACCGCACGTTAATCATTGTGTCATACTTAATTCAGGTGTCCTTTTAGTAGATTGATGTGTTTTGTCATGTTTTGGTGGGCTTTTTATCAGTTTATAGAAAATTTTGTAAATCGTTTCATAATTTTTCAAGACTATCTTTTTAGAAAGATTTATATCTTGTTATATTAAAGACACTCCTCTAATTACTGACGACCATATTTTGAGTTTTATTTGTCTTTGTTGTTTTATGCAGTAGGGTTGCTGTTTCATTGGCGTGATGATGTAAGTAAGATTCTTGTTTTGTTGTGTGTAAAATGACAAATTTAAATGACATTTGATCAAATTTGTTAACTCTGTCAATGTTAATTGACGATATAGTAACATCGCATTCGCATGAGTCTTTTATTCAATGAACAGAAGTAACCAAATTATTCTTTTCTTTTGATTTTCATTTATGGAATAAAACCACTAATGCATAGCCACCATTGCTTTCTATGTTAAATTTCAAGCATTCTTATCTATTTTGTCTTAAATTCAAATAAAGAGGCGGTCATTTCATGTCAAGACTATACCTTATATTGGCTTGTGCTGAAAAATTCCATATACCTTTACTCAAAAAAACTTTCAACAAGGTATAGTAATCCCAGGTCCTTAAGCTTCCATTTGATACCAAAATTACCCAAATATTTTACTTATAGACACAGTTACATGTATGCGTAGGAACTATTTTGTTTACATATGTACTGCTTTATTGTGTGTTTCTTCTGACCGTGCCCGAATTAGTAGTTCTTAACCTGATCAACAAATTAAACATAATGGAGTTGCGTTGTGCAATGATTAATGAACCCAGTTAAGTATAGATCATCTAGTTTTTTGTAGTTTTATATCGTTAAGTTTCAATCGCGGGCCACAATTTGAACCTTTTTGACGAGTGAATGCAACGAACGAACGAAAAGGTTTCCACAGTGTGGAGCAGTTGAAATTTTACAAAATATGTACACAGAAATCTCAGTTTGATAAGTTTTGCTTTCATATAGCGACGTTGCTGATAACTCCTCCTAACACGTTGTGATGTGACGTCTGTTCACGTCTAAAAACAGTGATACGAGGGCCTGGGAAGTAAGATAATTGCATTATATCCTCCTAATATGAAAATCGGAGGATGATTTGTTTTTAACAGGCATATTTTGCAGAGAATGGAAACGGGGAATGTGTCAAAGGTACAACAACCCGACCAAAGAACAGCCCAAGGCCACCAATAGGTCTTCAACGCAGCGAAAACCCATTGGTGGTATTGGGCTGTTTGCATGTTTGTTTTACGTGTCAGTCACATTGTCATTTGACAAATGTTCACCTACCACTTTTATCCAATTTATACGGGTATTATATATGTATGTCGTTACAGCTATATGTATGTATGATTTAAAAACAGAATATCAGCAAAGAACTGGATATTATGTATTTATTTGACTTTTTAAACGTTTCGGGCATTATCACCCGAGATCAAGTCACGAAAATTGTTATAGTCCTAATGTTGTTGAAGGTTTTTCAGGTATATGGTATACAGGCCAAAATTGGTCGTCTCATCATTTCAGCTCCCTTCGTGGGTTTTTACAACTGATAGCTAACTTGAAAAAAATTATATTATAACATGAATTTTACATGGAATTTTCACAATAATTCACTTGAATCAGAGTTCATGTGGATGTCACGTAAAATTAACGTGAACAACATATGCCTGTGTAATTTGATAGTCACTAGAAGACATTCGAGTAATCGCAGGCATGTGAATTGGATTGTTATGTTCATTTTCCAAGTTATCTGTTGTCATCTTACGAAGATCACATATAGCAATTTATAATGTTGAGGATAATAACCAGTTTTGTTAATCTTAGACCAAGTCAATGTTCATCTAAGGAGGTTGTGGTGCGTTTTTGTTTCAATTTCTTTTTTGGTGCATCCTTGTTTTCTCTATGTATATTGTGGTGCGTTGGTGTTTAGCAATGATGTTAATTTGTAATCATTTTGTGTTCGTCCATTTACAATTTACTTACATAGGAAACGAATATATTTACATAAATCCGAAAAATAAATGTTCATCTCAGAACGTGAAGTTGCGTTGTTTTATATATTTTGGGTTTTTTGTCCAATCTTATTACATTTAGGTTTGTTGTGGTTCGTTGTTGTATGGATTTGTTTTTTGTTTTCGTTCCTATCTTTCTTCGAGGAAACGAAAGTTTTCACATAAAACCGAAAGGGTTGTCGAATAGGACATTCTAGAATCCTTTTTTTCCGTAAGTATTCCCCAATACGGGATGGGGGGATGAATGATGATTCATGATTTTTATTAATTTAAAAGAAAGATAAAAAGGGTACAACTCCTGGATCTCTTTTTCTTCTGGACCATCAAATTGATTTCTCTTTTATGGGTTCGAATACAGAAATTTACACATTTACAAAGCCATCGCTTAGTAGCTTAGTCCATCACTGACTATTACTTACACGACTAGCGTAACAGGTGGAGCAGAAATTGTATCCCTTGAAGCAGCTTAGTGCATCACTGACTATTACTTACACGACGAGCGTCATAGGTGGAGCAGGAATGGCTTCCTTCGAAGCAGTTTAGTCCATCACTGATTTTTTTTTAGGTGTATTCTACGATATTTGTTTTCCTTTTCTCTGTAGTGGTGCGTTTTATGGACTTGTTCGACTGGTTCGACTGGTTTGTTTATTTGGTTCCAATAACTTTGTTTGTCGTTCTTATACTTTGTATTACATCTTTGGTTTATTATTTGGTTGAAGTACCTTACATTTTAAACACGTTTTTATTAAAGTATAGTGAGATAGAGAAAGACTGGAATTCCTCGTTTGCAGTTTTAACATTGACGTCTTTAGATGCATACTAAGAAGGTATTTCGATTTTGTTGTTATAAGTATATGTATAATATACGACGAAGGAAACGAACAGATACAAAAAATGAAAAAGTCAATAAGCTAAAGGTCGTATCACTGATATGCACAACTGTTGTGCAAGATTATTACATATATATTTATATATATATATAACACTAAACATGAAATTTTGCATTTCACAATTCATGAATGTTTGTTTTTCTTGTATATGATGTAATTGGTATTATTACGAATCTTTAATAGAAATTTCTAACCATTTGCAGTTAACAAGTAATGATCATTTTGATATAAAAATAAGGGAATGTGGTATTATTGCTAACGAGACAACTATTTGCACACTGTACAATATAAACCACTCCTGTTACAAACAATAAAATGTTTTTTTTAATTAACACATTAAAGACTTTTATTCACATAGTATTGAAATACAATAAGCATTTATGATAAAACCATGATTTCTTTTAAGATTAAATTACTTAATTGTATTTGATATTCAATAAACAAAGGAGTAGGCAACATGTGATTGTATCAGTCATGTTAGTCCCAGGAAACATGGGACCAAAAGTTAGATTGTTTCAGTCATGTAAGTCCCAGGTAACATGGGACCGAAAGTTAGATTTTATCAATCATGTTAGTCCCAGGAAACATGGGACCAAAAGTTAGATTGTTTCAGTCATGTAAGTCCCAGGTAACATGGGACCGAAAGTTAGATTTTATCAATCATGTTAGTCCCAGGTGCAACAGATTTTCATTAAATAAATGAATAAATAAACTATAGAAACGAATTTCTCGAAAAAGAGTATATTATTATTTAACATGGGCAACTCGGGCATTTTTGAAGACAAATCGGACCACTTTTAATGACAACTGGGGCCAGTCTAAGTGTCGGGTCGAACCAGTTTGAAAGACCATTCGGACAACTATGAGGGTCTGTAAGAATAAAAAAGCATAAAAAAAGAACAGAGACAAAATAGCCAAACATACACTTTTAGCTACCTCTTTACAAGCAAAATCAAAAATGAAAGTTCCAACTATGTACTGGCTTCCAAAGCTGCACAAAACTCCTTACAAATATAGGTTTATTTCGTCTTCAAGCCATTGTTCCACTACTAAACTATCTATTCTACTTACTAGTACACTTTGTACAATCAAAAACCTGGTAATAAATTGTTCAAAGAAAGCCTTTGAAAATAGTAGAATTAATTACTTTTGGAGTGTCAAAAATTCGTTTGAAGTACTTGATAATTTACATGCTTATATTGGTGCTTTCGAATCTGTTCAAATTTTTGATTGTTTTACCCTATATACCGTTTTGTCTCATAATCATATTAAGAAAAAATGCACACACCTGATTAAATGGGCATTTAAAAAGTCAGAATGCGAATATATATGTTCAAACTCTTTTAGGTCATTTTTTAATAACAACAAACAAAAGAACTATGTCAATTGGACCTGCTTTGATAGTATAACTGCCCTTGAATTTTTACTAGATAACATTTTTGTTCGCTATGGAGATTCCATATATCGTCAAATTATCGGAATTCTCATGGGGACTAACTGTACACCACTTATTGTGGACCTGTTTCTGTATTGTTATGAGTTACAATTTATGACTAAAATCAGCAAAGACCCATCGA